AAACTGTAAAGTGACTTACGTTCAGTCATGCATATATAAGTACAATGGGTGCTACTTTGGTAGACGGTTGCACGGATTTTTGGCGATTTACTTTGGGGCAATTGTTGGCGCAGTTTTAACAATCGTCAGCCATCTTTAAAAATGCTGTTCTTACGTATTTTGCCCGTAGTAAAGTATTCGAAACTTTAAAAAAAAAATATTGTTAAAAATGATAATTTTGTTGAAAACCGCTTTTTAAGATGGCAGGAATACAAATAATACATTTACTACGATTAAAACTAAAGTGGTTAAATTATTACTTCACTGGCGAAAACTCTTTAGTAGTTAATGACTAGAAAAAAGTAAGTCATAAGTCTCTCTTTCTCTAAATTATTTCTTTCATATAGCATGAAATAGAATAAAACATATTGCGCCAACATTTAATTGGATTAAAATTATTACTTTCATACAGCAAAGAAATAGAATAAAACATTGCGCCAACGTTTAAAAGAGTTAAAATATTACTTAAATTCAAATACTTTAATATAAGTAAATAAGAACGCTTCGTACACTAGAGCTAAAATCACATCAATTAGTTTATTGCTGGTAAAAAAGGACGAATGTCTAATACATTTTTACCGTTACAAGCGATTATTTCTTCCACCCTAACCACAATACCATATACGGCTACAGAATCAGCTCTTCTAACAATCTTCATCTGTGATCCACATTCCTCGCACTTCATTGAAGAAGCAATTAGTGAGGTTTCCTCCAAAAATTTAAGATAAATTTCCTCTGACCCTTGTAGCAATTTATAAATAAATCTTTGTTGAGGAAAGCCAGGTTAGCCATAATAAGGTCTCGAAGGACAATTTTTTTATTCTGATACCAAAATTCTTGGTACATACCAATAATAACATTAATCTTTGAAAGGGACATATCCATTTCCTATGAAATCTAAGGAATCGAAAGATGAAATAAAATTTAAAAAACAGCACAGTAAGTGACTGCAAATTATTCTGTAACCAATCAAGGAGCTGATTACATCATGTCTAGAATTAAAACTATTTAAAATCATACATAATAAATCATTTAAAAATGCAAATTAAATTGTATTTTAAATTTAATAGCCATAAATAATATTTAAATCATTAATTAAATTATACATATTAAAACTAATTACTTTAAAGCAAGGTGATGTTATTGATTACATCATCCACAACATAAATTACAAAATATCATAAACAATAAAATTTTTATTCAATAAAATGCAAAATTAATTGATTTTTAATATTTTAGAAGCCATAATAATTTTAAAAACGGAATTTGCATAATAAAACGCTTATTTTTTAAATAAAATTACAACAAAGTATCGGTTACCATAAATAACTTATCCAGCAATAGGTTTATTAAGTCGTATAACTTGCCAAAATCCGTGCAACCGTCTACCAAAGTAGCACCGTACAATGTTACATATTCTATGTTACACACAAGATAAATCACAAAAATGCTCATGCAGACATGAGGGGGGGGGGTGAAAGGATATGACCTTGCATCAAATTATCAGCATTCAGTTTTTCATTTACTTGGTCATTGCTGAGATGAAGAATAATGATATATGATAAGAAATTAAACTGAGGAAATACTAAGACAGGGTATTCAGAGAAATTATAAAGAAATTTCAACAGGCCTAATATTCTTGCTATTCCTTCTTCAATGGAACTTTTGAATGAAAAATATAAATGTCAATTAAACTATGATTATATAATGACATAAATAAAGTTCCTTAGTAAGAAAGAAACATTTCAAGTTTTATTTATGTTACTACTTAAATGAAACAAAGAGATAGAAGGAGGGTCACTTTAAATTTGCAATTTAATCTAAAATACATCAAGTACAGGCAGTGTGACCTCACTGGGAAACAGAACAAAAGAATGGCAAAAATTTTAGAATTTAGAGAAGTACTGAACAACACAATTTTAAAAAAAAGCATTGGGCAAAAGAATCAGGAGTGGCAAAAAAGTTTCAAATTTAGGGAGGCACCGGAAAGCAGTATTTAGGGCTCGCAGAGATTGTACCAGGTGGCAGAATGCTGGCCCTGGAATCTCCAGAATGCAATTCCGGTTGATTTTTGGATTATGGTAACATGGCGATTTTTTGGGGAAAATTTGGCGACCAACTCTGCTACAGCAACCCTCTATTTTTTTTTTTTTTTTTGCCGCCATTTTGTCTTCACGAAGTAAAGACATTTTCTTTTCTTTTTATTTACTGAACACTTTTTCCAACAATCTACTAGCTGAATTACACTTATGCTAGAAATTTTATGTAACAAACTGCTTAATCATGACAAATATTAACTGAAAATTGGGAAAAAGTGCACAATTGCAAACTCCTTGTGCGTTTTTCAGAATAGCACATACACATAAACCATTTACACGTCGACTTATTTTTACTTAAAAAAACATCCCAGAATTGCACAAAAATGGCATTGTACACACTCTTAACTTTATCCATCTACACTGCTATTTTCTCAATGCAAAAAAAATTCTGTGAATCTTTAAACTCGGTAAAAAGGACATATATGAAATTACCTGATCGCGAAAAAGTATATACCCTTTCCAAGGATGAACATTTCCACGTATAAAATAAATAAAATATCCATAAACTTTTACCTCTAAATTATCTATTATATTATAAACGTCACCAACGAATTCATACCGCAAACATTACAAATGGTTACAAATACTTCAATTATTTCCATACACGTTTACTTCAACTAAAATGTATACCAAATTCTTACAAACATAACTTCACAAATAACTATCATTTAATTAAATATCACTAAACCAGGTACACGTTAACTTATTTACTTAAAAAAACATCCCAAAATTGCACAAAATGGCATTGTGCACACTCTTCACTATATCCATGTACACTGCTTTTTTCTCATAAATTAGAAAATTTCACGAAAATGCATGAAAACTCAATGTATTCTACTCAACTTATTCCAAAATACTCAAACATTAACTCACAAAATCACGATCATTAATTAAAAAAACACTACTTAAAATATAATAAGCACATACATTAAATTATAAAAATTAGATTACAATCCTAATTACTTTAAACTAATCATGCTAATAACAATTTTCCAATAATACCATATTATTTATTTACCTCTTACATTTAGAACAATGCATAAAAAATATCCTTAAATGATAAAAATACTAACTTTACCTAATCTTCAGAATCTTATTACGTGGCACGCACACTCCACTATTTCACACAACACACAATGAAGCTTAATACAAAATAATATAGTACTACAGTTTTCCAAATTCCCCCCCTTTTCCGATTAAAGAGCTGTGATTCGTCCATTAATGTCACATGACATATCTCATGATCTCTCATTTCCCTCACACAAAATAATGCATAATCGGAACTGAGTACTTCTCACATTATTACCAAAGTCCTAGGTAGTAACCTTTATCGCCTCCAAAATGTCGCCAAACTACCAGTTACCATATTTCATAGATCAGCCGCAATTCCTAATATAATACTATAGTGAATTTTCTTCAAAACTGTAGTATATAAAACATTTTTGAGAGGCATGTTTCTAAATATAAATCGGTAAGAAACACCAATACCTAAAAATGAGTACCCTGCATTTAAACAACTTGAGGAATGTACCCTGCATTTAAACAACTCCAGAACTTCTAGAATGTTACTCACAAGTTTGCTAACATGAAATAAAGGGGAGGGGGAATAGCACTTTACATTTAAAAAATAAAGTTTACAATTTCGTGCCCCTTGTTCTTTGGCGATTCTTTTTTGATGGCAAGATCGGCACCAAGAAGGCACAATTTCAAGATGGCTGCTACACAAAACCAAAATAGTCAAAGAATTGCACAAACTCAGAGTCCATATGTACACATCGATCTGTTTTCACTTAAAAAAAAAAAAAACAGAATTGCGCAAACTAGGCATTGTGCACTGCCTTAAATTTGTTTATGAACACATCAATCTATTTTCATTAAAAAAAATAAGGAAGCTAAAAAAGTTAAAACTATCATGGTAACCAGAAATGAGGTTTCATCGCCAAAATTAAAAAAAAAAAAATTATCGCTAATCGAAGGGGAACCCAATTCTACACTAGAGCGAAAACAAATACAAAATTTAACACATTTTATTAAATTGGTGATATGTCATTTAAACATTTGATAGATATTTTGGAATGAACTGCCAGGAGTGGCACTCTGGCTAAGCCACTGACTATTCCTATGTTTAAGAAAGTCAAACTATGATGATATGCAGTGCAGGATTTACATATGAGCTACACAAGCTATAGCTTAGAGCTCCCACTTTCTTGGGGGCCTCCAAAAAATATAAAATATAGTATAAGACCTATAAAGAGCCCCTTATTTCAAATAGCTTTGGGCCTCATTAAGTGTAAATCCGGCCCTGATGACATGAAAACAAATTCGGCATGCCCTCTATATTTCAATCTAGCCTAATGATGCAAATGCAGAGTAATTTAAAAGTCAAAATTATATTTAATTAAACGACTGTTTTTTCTTAGACGATAGTTCTTGCTTCGACTTGTAATTTAGACATTCAGAAATTAAGATTAAGACTATTAACGCTTTAAATGTTTACAGAATCATTTCCATCAATAATAATAATAAAAATATATTATTACCATTGATCCGATTTTCCCACAATCAGTCGCTATGATGAAGTGCTTATCTCTAAACTCAATAACAGAAATATCCGTACATCGACCACACACTGTACCTTTGCTCTGTAATATGAAAATTTATTTATAGAATTTAAACTACAATATAAAGGCAAAATTCTTAGAACTACATATAAAAGTTTAGACTTACTGTTTTACTTTTAATACACCACTTCTGACAGTCATTCATAGCGATCAATTTTAGAATTTAAATTTGGATAGCTGATCAGTGGATAGAAGTTGAAGTACTTTGAAAGAGGAGAAGAGAGAGAGAAGATTTCGAAAAAGAAAATTCCGAAAGAGAAATATAGTTAAAAAATTGCGTTTTGGTCCTCATATTTATGTGTTTTAAATTTCAGATAAAATTAATGATATGATTACAGACATAATTTATACCGAGTTTCTACAAACCTGATACTTACTTTTAGCCATCATTGTTTCGTCTGCTACGTGCAATTTTTTATTCTAGAACAACTCGAAGTGCACTATATTTATGCTGGAAAATTTGAAAATATATTGTAAGGATAGGAAACGAATCTAAATTTATTCTTGGAATAGACTAAAAGTCGAAAATCGGCCGGTTACGATTGATGTTTTTCCATCCGTGAAGTTAAATACCTAGATTGAGGATGTGTTGTATATGTGTCAAATGGTTTTCCCTATACGAATCTGATATTTCTCAAAAGGAAATAAGCGTAAGTAAATAAACCTTTTACATTCTGAATAAAATAAACATCTTAAGTGTCACTTTCTAGTGTTTTATTTTGTCTTAGAAACTGTGTATGTGTATTCTGAAATCAACGCCTTTTATGCTTATATATATATCGTAATAATATCTTTTTAAACCAAAAGCATTAAAAAATTGTCATTTGAACGTAGTTAAATATAAACTATAACGTGAAGAAGCTGTTTTCTGCAAATATCAATTATTGTAAAATTTTTCGTTAATGATAAAGTTCATACAAAATATGTATGGAAAAGAGATGGTATGCATAAATAATATTAAACACATGTTTAAAAAATGTCGATGTTTTTGTTTTACTTGTTTAACATGCGTTAGTGTGTTTTAAATTATTATTATGGAGTGAGCAAGGGGCTACCACAGAGTAATTTTTTTTATTATATATGTGGGAATGTTTTCACTTCATTTATTTATTGTTATTGTTTTTTAAATTATTAGAAACATACTACATATTTTTTGAATAATTGTCAATTTTTTATGTCAATATTTGTGTTTTATGTAGTGTTATGCATTTGCTGTTTCTCTTAGTATTTCTAATACATAAATTTTCATTTCAGGTCAGATGTATCTTCTGAGCAAATAAATAGGAATCTATTCTAAGCGCAGACTATGAAGAAAAGGAGCTATGTCTGCTTATTTGGGTACAGAACAAAAATCAGAAAATGATAATTTAAATCACAAAAAAATTTGTATGCAGAATAATGAATTAGAAATTTCTGCAGATTTGAAATGTAAAGCAGTATTAAGTGATTTAACTGAATCAGGCGAAAAGTATTTCTTAAAAAATGAAGTAGATGAAGTTGAGTTAACACAAAAAAGTGTTTCAGAACTATGTTTAGATTCTCCAGAACACACTAAAGATTCCTTCTCTATCAAAACTGTTACTCATAAAGATAGTCATGAAACTTCTCCATTCAAACAAGCTGTTAGAGGTTTTGTATTAAATAAACTTAGTAAAAAGGTTGGGTCATCCACTCTATTATCAGGTCTGTCTGAAAAATTAGTGAAGAAATTAGCAGAAGGAAAAGAAAATACACTTTCTGACTTAGTTTATGTAAATAAAAGTGAGCCAAACATTTCTGTATCAGGTTTAAAAGAGTCTTGTGAACTTCATGATTCCCTTTCTTGTGAATTAAAATCAGTTGTAGCTAATGATTTAACAGAGATAGCCAATGTAGAAGAAGCTATAGAATGTTTTGAAGAGCTAAAATATTCATTAACTGATTCTGGAAGTGAAAGTAAAAAATCTGTTCATAAAATTGTTACTAGTATCAGTGTTCCATCAAGTCCTGCTCGGTTTAATAAAACATCACCGCCTAATGTCGGTGGTTCATTAAGTAATATAGAGCAATATTCAGAATTGCAGCCAGTTGTTACTGCTGATTCACACGAAATATTAAAAGAAAGCTTGAATTCTATACAATGTACACCAGGATTTAAAATTGAAGCAGAACCTCTTTCTGCAATGGAACAGTCCAGTAATATTGAATCTTGCAATTCATCTGATATTCAGTATCCATTAAATGTGCATGTTGTAAATGAGGAAGAGAAAATCCCAGTATCTCATAAAATTGCTGATTTCTTTTCAAGTTTACAGAGTGTGTTTAGATCCTTGCCTTTATCTCATTTGCTCCTTCTAACATCTGTTATAATTCATAATTCTCCATTTGTTTGCTCATATTTAGCTTTAATTTTTGACGCTTTAATAATTGCCTATATTTGTTATGGTTATATTCTTCATAAACCATATCTTGATGCCTTTCAACATATTTCTACTCCTCATCCTCAGTTAGAAAGTGCTACTATTCATGTTGATGAGGAGGTTAAAGAAGTTAAGGTGAGTTTTAAATATCTTTTTTTAACTAAATTTTTTTTGGTTAATCTTTGGATTATGGTAACTTGGCGATTTTTTTGGCGAAACTTTGGTGACTAACCCTGCTACAGCAACCTGCTAGTTTTTGTTTGGAGGCCATT